CAGTTATGTGTACAAGTGCCTACATGAGTTACAAGATAAACCCAGAGATTTCACATACAAAATCATAATGTCATTACATAAAAAGCATTCTGATATGTTGTGTTCTTTGTTGATTTCTTTGCAACATAAGAATTTCTCTATTACTTTTCAGTAGTAAAAAATAAGTGACAGCTAATAGCTGGCATTTTCTGAGAGGTGCCTTGAGTCTAAAAAAGAGTGAGAACCTCTGATTTGTTCTCATAGAGGTCTCTGAGTTTTGCATTGTAGGCAACTGAAATGTATCTTTATGCCTGTTTGTGTGCTTAGAAAATGAAAAGATCAATTTCTTAAAAAAGAATGTGCCAAGAACCACTAAAATACTGCTTGGAATGATTGGCAATAAGTTTCGTTGATGCTTCCTAGTGAAATATTTGAAAGTATCTGTAGATCTAATTGTTCCCCACAACCTAAAAGTGAGACACTTAATTTTTTTAAAAAGCATATGTTCTGACAGTTCTTGCTCTCAAATCCTGGTTTGAGATTATTTGAGGAAAAATTAAGCCTGCAGATTACTTCTCACACTTAATCTGGAGTCTGTTTGCATTTTTATACTTCTAAATACAAAGTAAAACTTTACAGCCTTAAACGTTTCATCAGTTACTTGTAATGAGGGAGGACAAGTTTGCAAGAACACCAACTTTTACAAATTCCTCCAGTGCTCTAATCTTTAAATCTCTAATACTGTTTTGTAGTGTGGGCCATATCTGGAAACATTAAAATTTGAACTTTAATTAGATTCAAACTATCCTACCTCAAAAGCAATTTAAAAAGCGCTAACAAATTGCCATCACTGAATCGTCATGCCTCCAAGTTTTGAATACTAGTAAGTCAAAGTTTTGTGTCATAAGAGGCTCATATTTAAAATCAAATAAAGTGGTCATAATAATATATTTTATAGACCTCCATAAAGATTTTGTGGAGAAGGGAACCATCTTTGGAGAAAAAAAATCAATCACCCCTTAGTGCAGTGATATCCAAAGGGTGGCATGTGAGAGTGGTGAAAGTGTGCTGTGAAATATGATACTTTTCTTTCTTTTTTTGTATTTTAAGTTGGGATGGCACAGTATACTTGCAGAGCAGAGTGCAGTGCAGCCATGTGCCCGGTATGAGCCCAGTGAAGTAAAGGGCTGCTTTATATAAGATCTCCGGGGCTCTAGGCAAGCCCAGGGTGAGACATATAAGTTATGGAGGGATGGGACCCCTAGCGAGTGAAAGGGTCAGCTGTTTATGGATTGACCCAGGGCTCTTGACTGGCCCAAGCTGGGGCCAGGGCATGAGTGGCTAAAGGGAAAGTATGCCCGCTATGAGGGGAAGGCCAGAGTGGCGGAGAGCTCTGGTGCCCTGACTGCCCAGAGAGCAGGGTCAGGCTCAAGTGAGCCAAGGTTTCAAGTGAGAGACAAGAGTGAGGGGTCAGTCAGCAACCAGTCTGAAATGGTAGAGGCTGAAAATCAGGCACCTGATGGGAGGTATCCTGTAAAGGGGCTAAGAGAGAGATGGAGACAGCAACTGAGGGTTGTGTGATAAAGTGGGGGCTGGAAGAGAGTGCCCAGGAATGAGCAGCCCAGGAAGAACATCAAGGAACTCAGAGTGGGTGAAGAAAGACCAGGGCTGGTAGGCCTGCAGTAGTCCTGGGGAATGACCTAAAATTACACCCTTCTGGGGCTGGATGGTGTGGTAGGGTTGACTGTGGCGGGGCAGTCTCCAGAAAATGCTACACCTGTGCCTCCCTAGTGATAGGTGAGTATGGGGCACCAGAAAGTGTCAGCCCTCGCTGCCTTGTGAGTGACTCTGTGGAGGGGAAAGGCTAGGGGAGCAGACCCTGAGAGAAGACCACTAGGCTTGGGTGGCAACACAGGGGCCCAGAGGGCTGAAGGCCTGAGAGTGAGGCTTGGGGGACAGAACAGGGGCCAGGAGGGCCCAAGGCCCAACACCTGAGAGAGTGAGGCTTAGTGGGAGAATTGAATAAGTATTAGGCCTAGCGTGAGGCCAGGTTAGAGGTCCAGGAACATCAAGAGATGCCTGAGGCATGAGTGGGCCATAGGCTAGGTAGGGGGTCCAGGCATGTCGAGAGACATTTGAGGCCTGAGTGGGCTGTAGGCTGAGTTTGAGGCGCCTGAGGCCAGAGAGGTCCAGGGGTCAGAGTCAGCCCAGAGTGTGGGGTGGTAGGCCTGACGGCCCATCATAGAGTAGGGCCTGATTTGGGTGGCCTGAAGGTCTACACGGGTCAGGACTGAGAGCGCAAGGGATGAATCCTGAAGGGCTGTATACAGTAGGAAGCCTGAGTGGTCCTGAAGAGCTATACAGAATAGGGCAACGTGGCTGAGGCTCAGAGAGGTACAGTGCAACTGAGGCCCAAGAAAGGGACAGAGCAAGTGTGGCCCTGCTAGGGGTAGTATCAGAGAGGCTCAGCCTAGGACTGAGTTTGGCCCAATAAGGGACCAAGAGGATTATCACCAGTATGTGATGCCATCTGTGAGGCATGCGACATGGTGAAGGGAAGGTCAGAGCTGCGTATTATGGCCTTGGCATCAAGGCGTTAAATTGGCAGCCTCCCACCTAGGAACAATTATTCAGTTACAACAAAGGCATGGCAGGAGAGCCAGGTGTGTGGACTGCCTCAGACAGGTGGGTGGGCCAAAGTTGTGACTGGCCTCGAGATGGCCCCCTGCCACAGCCACCAATTTTAATCCAAAAAAGAAAGTGTGTCCCAGGGATCAGAAGTCTGGGAAATGCTGCCTTAGTGCAATATATAGCATGGGAAAACTATCTGCAGGGTCACCTTCAGTAGTTAGTGGTCCCTTGTTCCCACTGTGGGTCACTATTTCAGATGATGGGTTCTCATGCCATATTTTCTCCCAGTACGTTATATACAATACTGCATCTTCGCTGAGACATTCTTGTTTGTATGAAAAAGTAGATTTAGATAAGACTGAGAAAATAAAAGTAGCTGGTTCTTTTGCTTTCGACCCTGCACAACTCTTTATTATAAAAAAACGCTTCTCTTTTATTTTTAGTAACTCTAATTCTGACATTTTTCTTTCCTTTTTGCAGACTGAAATCTCCAGTCCTTCCCTCTTTCTAATTTTCAGAGGAAACTAGGATCATTAGCTATAACTGTGAATGCAAATCTACAGTTGATAACCAAATGCAAGTATTTAGGCAGCACATCTTTGCCTATGGTAAGTATCTGGAAGGACTGGACTTATATGGCACCCGTCAATTTCCTTCTTATTGCTGACATCACTTGTTCTCCTCCAACGCCCAATCAGCCCACTATTGTGGAAGAAACAGCAATCAGACATCCTCAGCAAGGGAAGAAGAGCTTCTGTTCTGGATTCTAGAGACTAATTTAAGGTCATTTCTGTCTTCCCTTCAGTGAGAAGCAGAATTCTGGGTGTGTCTTCTCTCTTCCTGAAGGAGAATTGCATTTAGAGGTACCTCCTGAGCAGAGGAACAGAAGGTGGACAGTACTATGGATGAGTCTTCTTGAGGAAGGAGGCCAACTAGATACTATTTCTCCCTTTTTGTCCCTTGACTGGTTACAGTGATGTTTGCAGTAAAAGGCGGACGTATGGGATTACAGGGTGAACCAGAGTCCATCCAGGTACTTACTGAAGACAAAGCTGTGCCTCCATATTGTCTACTGGGAGGAATGATTCTCATTCAATTGTAGTACAGTATATCTTCAATTTTTGGACATATCTTCAGTGATTTTTCTTGGTCCCTTGAAGAATTTGGGTTCTGCTTTTAAAAGGTAGAACTGTACCTTATTGTCATTTGTGGACCTCCCTATGGCTTCAGGAATTGCTTAGAGTTTTGCAGTTTAGGACAGAAATTGAATAAGAGACTCTGGAAAGATAAAATCACTCCTATGATCAACATTTAACCTATATACATTTTCTTAGAAGGCAAAATAGGGTAGTAGAAGCACTTTCAAGCTTAAAATTCTACAATAATAGGTTCTCAGGTTACTGTGTTAATACAAATTTAATTTCGAAAGCAATGTTTGTTATATTGCTGAAACACAGGGCTGCAAGTACTTAGATTTTTTAAAAATGGATTGGACTTTTAGAGAGTTTATACATTATTTGTCCTGCTAGGTATTTGAGGTAGGTCTGATAGTTAATTTTATTAGGATCTGAAATATGTGCATCTATTCAGCTTAAATCATTAGCTGCAATATGTAGGGAGCTTATTTTTCCTGTAAGCAAGGGGTTGGCAAGCTGTGGCCCACAGACCATGTCTGACCCACCAAATGATTTACACAGCTGTTTAGCTGAGTTGGTTAGAGCATGGTACTAATAATAACACCAGGGTTGCAAAGGCGTACCTATGTCTTGTTGCACGAGGCCCCTCCACTAACCTAAAATTACTCATTCCTTTTAAAAGATCTGATGAGTCTTGGTACTCCATTCATCTCAATAGTAGCTAGCAATTTGGAGAAAGTAGACTTTAGAAATATCAGACAATTATGTCAGTGATCCTTCACCTTTTTTTCAGGAGGTAAAGTCAAAGAATACCAGTCCAGCTTCCTGTAGGATCAAAGTGACATTCAGCTGTCCTTTTTAATTTGTCCTTTTTGTTTATCATAAAGCTGCCATCATTTAAATTTGCTTGGCAATCTGAGAACAAATACTGATAGGTAGGATTGTTATAGAATAACCTCAATAAAGTCATATATAGAGTTACTCACAGGGCCATGTCCCTGCATGATTTTAATCTTAGCCAGTACTTCTCTTTCCCCCTGTCAGTAATTAATGAGCCCAAAAGAAATACATTTTTTTTAAAGTACAAAATAATGGAAGCAGAATCTTGACTCTTGTATGTAAGAGTGTATGACTGGCTTGTCAAAAGGATGATAATATACTGTAAAGATGTGTGTAGAGATGGCAATAGTTATTCTTGACTCTACTTTGGTCATATGGCATAGTTCACTTAAATCAATTGTGTATATCTTTCAGTACATCTTCATTGCCACCACTAGACTGGCCTTTACCAAGTCGTTATGAACAATGTGAGCTGAAAATAGAAGTGCAGCCTAAAACTCACCATAGGGCTCATTATGAAACTGAAGGCAGTAGAGGAGCAGTAAAAGCATCCACAGGTGGACACCCTGTCGTGAAGGTATGAAGTTTAACTTTACTGTGAACAATTTGTGTTGTTAAAATAAAATCTCATTCACTTACTAGTGTGTACAGTAAACTATAAGCTTTTTTGATAATTTTGAACAGGTAGCATTTCTCTATAGTTATTTAATTTTACAGGTATAAAAACATTGTATAAGTATAGAACTTATATAATTAATTTCACTGTATATTATAGTCTTGCCAGTGGATTTATGATGCAGTATTTAACTTCTACTGCTGTACTGAAAGGAACCATTTTTAGGGGGAAAATTATAGCAGGTTATATGTACTAGGTCGTACAGAAATGTGTACCATAAGTGTGGTAGAATACAATAAAAACCTCTTACCCTCTGCATCAAGGATATATTTCTGAACATGATTGAATGGTGGTAGTGCATGATAAACTTGGTGGTGCTGTATTTGTCTTATTAGGATATTTCTTTGTAATAAATTCTAATAAATTCTTGGTAATTTTAAGTTCAATAAACTGTATACCAAAACATACACAGTAAACAAAGTGCAGCATTTCCCTGTATCTCCCCAAAACAACCAGATTTTCTTGCTGTTGAAATAAGATTAATATGTGCAGCTTCCTGCTCTTTTCTGGCCCATTAGGAAACAGTAGAAAGTGCATTGTATCACTGGCTTTCTTTAATATGCATTGTTAATCTGTAAAGCAAAGCAGGAGAGGACTTTTTAAAGCAGGGGTAGGGAATTATTTCGGGCAGAGGGCCACTTACTGAGTTTTGGCAAGCCAACAAGGGCTGCATAGGTAACCCTGCCCCTTGACAGGTGCCCCACCTCCTGATCACCATCTTGGAACCAGAAGCCCAATACCTGACCTTTGCCACCAGAAGTCCCTCCCCTTGACCCCCAGAATTACTCCATTCAGCAAGGGGTTTTGCCATCTCTAAACCAGAAAAACACCAAATAATATTATAAAAATAAAAAATGTACTACAGCATTCATTAATTTAATCTCAAAAAATATTTTTGACTTGATTTACATGTGTTTGCATAGTGTACACAGAGCTTTGTGGGTTATGTGGGGTGTGGGAGAGGGTGTGTGTGTGTGTGTGTGTGTGTGTGTGTGTGTGTGATTTGTGGGGCCATGGGTATGTATAGGGGGTGTCTTATGTGTGGGGTGTGGGTGGGTATGGGTTTTCTGGGGGGCTGTGAGTTTGTGCAGAGAGGGTGTCTGGGGAGGGTTGTGGCTTGCGTGGAGTGGGGCGGGTTTGCCTACAGCCTGCCCCACCCGTTCTGCAGCAGGCAGAGTCCCTGCCAGTGCTTCAGGATCTATGCCCCTGCCACTCCTAGCCCTGGGGCACTGGTGTGGGCCCCATGCTCCTGCTTGCTGTGACTTGCCCCCCATCTGCCACTGCTGTCCTTCTCCTGCTGCTTCCCCGTTTCCCACCCCTGGCCCTCAGCCACTCTGGCACCACGTCCCAGCTGTTCCTGCGGTCCCGGCACTGCAGGTGGGAACCACGTGATGCCAGAGTGCAGCGGGCAGTGGGGAGCATGGAGCTCAGCAACAGCC